TTAACCTACTGAGCCACCGAGGCCCCCCATATCCAGCTGGTTTTAGTGCATGATTCTAGCTTGCCATTTTGTTCCCTGGCCTTAGGATGTCTCATGGCAAATATTACTTAGAAGAAGAGTTTTTCCTGCAGAGAATTAAGAGAACATATGAAAAATAGAAGCTTGAGTTAGTCGTAATATCCCAAGCTGCACAGAAGAAGGGAGATCGATTTGATGTCATTATTTTAAAAATACTCCAATATTTAAAAACAATAATGGGTCCCTCATGTTCTATCATAAGATAAGGTGTAACCAGCCCTCAGATAAAGAAAGAAAATCCCAGAAGTCCCCCTAATGCTCTCCAGGGTGACCTCTAACTGAACTTCCAATAGCATAGATTGGTTTTAGCCATTCTTGTACTTTATATAAATGGAATTATGTACTATTCCTTCCTTTGTATCTGCTTTCTGTTTTTGTTTCTTGCTTACCATTATGTTTGAGATTTACCCATGTGTAGCAATAAATTGTGCATTCTCACTGCTATTAGATTCTATGGTGTGAATATAACTTAATTTATAATACATGTATAATTTATAATTTATGAATGAATATGTAATCTGTATAATTAATCCAATTATATAGGCTGTGTTGTTTTTGTGTTTTCATTTTACAAACATTTCTCAGCTATTTTACTTTATTTTTAAATTTTTTTATTTAAATTCAATTCATTAACATATAATGTATTTTTACTTTCAGAGGTAGAGGTCAGTGATTCATCAATCTTGTATAATAACCCAGTGCTGATTACATCCCGTGCCCTCCTTAATGCCCATCCCCCAGTTACCCCATCCCCCCCACCCACCTCCCCTCCAGCCACCTTCAGTTTGTTTCCTATGATTAAGAGTCTCTTATAGTTTGTCTCACTCTCTGATTTCGTCTTGTTTTAATTTTTTCTTCTCTTCCCCTATGATCCTGTTTTGTTTCTTAAGTTCCGCATATGAGTCAGATCATATGATAGTTGTCTTTCCCTGATTGATTATTTCACTTAGCATAATACCCTCTGGTTCCATCAATGTCATTGCAAATGACAAGATTTCAATTTTTTGTTGGCCGATATATGTATATACCACATCTTCATGAGCCATTGATCTGTGGATGGACATCTTTCCATAGTTTGGCTATTGTGGACGCCGCTGCTATGAACATTGGGGTGCAGGTGCCCCTTAGTTTCACTCCATTTGTATCTTTGGGGTAAATACCCAGTAGTGCAATTGCTACGTCATAGGGTAGCTCTATTTTTAACTTCTTGAGGAACCTCCATACTGTTCTCCAGAGTGCCTGTACCAGCCTGCATTCCCACCAACAGTGTAAGAGGGTCCCCCTTTCTCGGCATCCTCGCCAACATCTGGCGTTTCCTGTCTTGTTAATTTTAGCCATTCTGACTGGTGTGAGGTGGTATTTCATTGTGGTTTTGATTTGTATTCCCCCGATGCCGAGTGATGCGTCTGTCGGCCATTTGTTGTCTTTTTTGGAGAAATGTCTGTTCATGTCTTCTGCCCATTTCTTGACTGGATTGTTTGTTCTTTGGGTGTGGAGTTTGATAAGTTCTTTATAGATTTTGGAGACTAGCCCTTTATCTGATACGTCATTTGCAAATATCTTGTCCCATTCCGTCGGTCGTCTTTTGATTTTGTTGACTGTTTCCTTTGCTGTGCAAAAGCTTTTTATCTTGATGAAGTCCCAAAAGTTCATTTTTGCTTTGTTTTCCTTGCCTTTGGAGACGTGTGTAGCAAGAAGTTGCTGAGGCTGAGGTCAAGGAGGTTACTGCCTGTGTTCTCCTCTAGGATTTTGATGGATTCCTGTCTTACATTTAGGTCTTTCATCCATTTGGAGTCTACTTTCATGCATGGTGCATGAAAACGGTCCAGTTTCATTCTTCTGCATGTGGCTGTCCAATTGTCCCAACATCATTTGTCGAAGAGACGGTCTTCTTTCCTGCTTTGTCTAAGATTAGTTGGCTACAGAGTTGAGGGTTCATTTCTGGGTTCTCTCTTCTGTTCCACTGATCTATGTGTCTGTTCTTGTGCCAGTACCATACTGTCTTGATGATGACAGCTTTGTAATAGAGCTGGAAGTCCGTAATTGTGATGCCACCAGCTTTGGTTTTCTTTTTCAACATTCCTTTAGCTATTTGGGGTCTTTTGTGGTTCCATAAATTTTTAGGATTATTTGTTCCAGCTCTGTGAAAAAAGTCGATGGTATTTTGATAGGGATTGCATTTTACTTTATTTTATTTTCCAGCTTTACTGAGGTATAACCTTGACAAATAAAATAAATTGGCAAATAAAAATTATATCTGTTTAAGGTACACAACTTGATGATTTGATATAGGCGGACATTGTGAAATATGCACCCCAATCAAGCTAATTAACCTATCCACCTCCTCACACAGTTACCATGTTTCCTTCTTTCCTTCTTCGTGAGAACACTTACCTCTTGGTGGGCACTAACATTTTTCCTACTGGTTTGCTCTTCTGAGTGCCACCACTCTAAATACCACAGGCGTTCCCTTGCATGGAAAAGAGGCACAATGTCTGCTGGGTGTGTGCCTCCGGGGAGGAGAGCTCAGTACTGACCCTGTGTAATATTCAGGTTTCCTGGGTACTACAGATTTTTCCAAAGGGGTTCTACCAATTTATATTTTCACCAAACGTCACGCGAGAGTTCTCTTTGCTCCATAGCTTCAGAAGTTTCCTTTATACCGAACGTTTGCACAGTTTTCAAGTCTGTTCTTAGGCATTTCACTTTTTGTTATTTTTTAAATCACAAGTTATATCTAATTGGCCACTGTTTGTATGTTAGTCAGTTCTTATGGTTTGTATTTGATTTTGCATTCATCAATTTATTAAGTTCTCTTATTGTTTATAGAAGCTTATTTTTCTTAAAATATTTTTTTATTAATTTATTTGACACAGAAGGAGAGAGAGAGACAGAGAGCAAGCACAAGCAGGGGGAACGGCAGGCAGGGGAGAAGCGATGTGGGGCTGGAGCCCAATGTGGGGCTGGAGCCCAATGTGGGGCTCGATCCCAGGACCCTGGGATCAGGGCCTGAGCCTAAGGCAGCCACTTAACTGACTGAGCCACCCAGGCGCCCCTGACTGAGCCACCCAGGCGCCCCTAGAAGCTTATTTTTCTTAAAGATTTATTTAGTTATTTGAGAGAGAGAGTGAGTGTGTGTGTGTGCATGTGAACGGGGGGGTGGCAGAGGGAGAGGGAGAGAGAAAATCTCAAGCAGACTCCAGCATGTGCAGGGATCCCGATATGAGCCTCGATCCCAGGACCCTGAGATCATGACTTGGCTCGAAATCAAGAGTTGGATGCTTAACTGACTGAGCTACCCAGGCGCCCCTTGGTTTATTCTCTTGGTTTTTCCAGATATAAAATCATAACATTTACAAATAATGATAATTTTACATCCACCTTATGTTTTTTATGGTCTTCGTGTATATTTCCTCTAAACATTGAAAATAGTGTTAATAGTGAACATTTTAAACCTCCAAATCTCCATTAAACCTCCAAAATGCTTATCGAAATCTTTTTATTAATAGAACACCTTCCCGGAGAAACATTTTGGTTCCAGTTCTTCACAGCAGCTCCAGAGAAAAAAGGTGGGATGAAGCATCAAGTACGTAAAGGAAGTCCCTCAAGGCCGGAGAAGAGGGAAGAAGAGAGAGGCTGGAATCAAATGGGGAGAAAAAGGTGGAAAGTGACGAGATCACCTGATTCACTCAAAGCAGGCACAGTGGAGGAAAAGGTAAATAAATTGTGATGATCACAGCCCATCACAGACCCACTAAGAGAGGGCGATTTAATTTCAAGATCATGCTCCCCCCACCCATTCCCGCCACCACATCGACAGGGCTTTGGTGTAAACACAGTGAATTAAAGCCAAAAGAATGGCATAGCACAAACTCTATTTAAGAAGGGCTTCTTAGGGAAACCCACAGACAACAGTGAAATGAGACTAGAGTGCCGGAGGAAACCGAAAACTCTGCACCTACAGCTACAGCAAACATGAATGCAGCCTGCCTCCTAGACAGATGAACACACAACCTCGTGCTATAGCCCTAGTTACCTCACTTCCTGATATCCCATAGATCGCGTCCAGCCTGGCACGTCAGCACACGGCGTGCTAAGAAGCCAGAAGCACAGTCTAGACACAGAGCAAAGCAGACTCAGATATGACTCAGATTTTGGAATTGTCAGACGTGTGTGTGTGTGTGTGTGTGTGTGTGTGTGTACACGTGCATAAAGAGATTTATTATAAAGAATTGGCGGGCGCCTGGGTGGCTCAGTTGGTTACGCGACTGCCTTCGGCTCAGGTCATGATCCTGGAGTCCCGGGATCGAGTCCCGCACTGGGCTCCCTGCTCAGCAGGAAGTTTGCTTCTCCCTCTGACCCTCCCCCCTCTCATGCTCTCTCTATCTCAACCTCTCTCTCAAATAAATAAATAAAATCTTTAAAAAAAAAGGAAAGAAAATCACTTTAAAAAAAAAGAATTGGCTACATGATTTATTCTAAGGGATTGGCTCAACCGCTGTGCAGCTGACGAGTCCCAAGGCCCCCAGTGCCAGGGGCGGGAGGCCCAGGGGAGCTGGTGGGGCAGCTCCAATCTGAGGACGGGAGACTGAGGCCCCGGGAAGGGCTGGTGCTTCCGTTCCAGTCCTTGTCCTGAGAGAAAATACTTAAAGGAAGTTGGAATTAAGGAGGGAGGAAGAGATGGCAGGCAGCTGCCATGATGGTGAAGCCATGGGCTCTCTGTGGGAAGTGGGAACTCGCACAAAAGGGAGATCCGTGAAAAATCGTTCCCCTGGCACAAAGTTTCCTGGAGCATCTGCTGCTTCTCCCTAAGCCTCCGAGATCTAGTTGTCCTCGTGCAGGATCAAAATACTAACGACACCGGTGTTCTTGTTTTTCCTGTTCCTGCTACTAAAACTGCAGACAAGATGCAAAGGGCACGTCTTCTGACTGAGGAGGGCCTGGCCTGCGTCTTCCCATTCACTTCCTGTTCCCCCCACAGCCCACAGCTGCTCTTTCAGGGCAGTTCTGGAGCTGAGCTTTCTCATCCCAGTTTGCTGAGAAAGAGAAGCCATGTCCTTTCTCTGTTCCTACGCTGTGGACACTTTCCTCTACCTCTTCCCCTCAAGGTCCGCAGAAGCCTACGATGTGTCGGCCCCAAAAGGAAAAACAAAGAATTCACATGAGCACACGGCCCCAGGAGACAGAAAACACCGCCATTCCTCTTGCCCCGCAGCTGACAGAGTGGTAAGTCCGAGTGGGAGGGGAGTGTGTCTGTGTGCCTGTGTGCTATGTGTGTGTGTTCGTATGTGTTGTTTGTGTACATGTGAAGAGTATGTATGCTTCCGTGTGTGCTGTGTTTTTGTGTTTGTGTGAGTATGTGTCGTGTTTGGGAGTTTTTGGGTGCAGTGTGTGTGATGCGTGTGTGGGAATGTGTGTGTTTATGTGGGTGTGTGTGTGTGGATGTGTGTGTTTGTGTAGATGTGCGTGCTGTATATTTATGTTTGTGTGTGTGCTATGTTTGTGTGTATGTGAGCTTATGTGCATGTGTTATGTTTGTGTTTATGTGTATATGTGTTTATATGTTTGCGAGTACGTGTGCGGTAATGCTTTGAGTGTATGTTTGTGACTGTGCGGGTGTGTGTTGTGTTTGTGAGTGTGTGTGTTGTGTTTGTGACTGCGTATGTTTGTGAGCGTGGGATTGTGTTGTGTTTGTGGGTGTGTAGGTGTCTGTTGTGTTTGTGAGTGTGTGGGTGTGTGTTGTGATTATGTGTATATGTTTGTGAGTGTGTGTTTGTATGTTTGTGAGTGTAGGTGTGTGTTGTGTTTGTGAATGTGTGGATGTGTGTTCTGTTTGTGAGTGTGTGTATGTGAATGTGTGGGTGTACGTGTTGGGTTTGTGTGTGTATGCTTGTGAATGTGTGTTGTGTTTGTGAGTCTGGGTGTGTGTTGTGTTTGTGAATGTGTGTTTGCATGTTTGTGAGTGTGTTTGTGTGTATATGTTTGTGAGTGTGGGTGTGTGTTGTGTTTTAGTGGGGTGTGTGTTGGGTTTGTGAGTGTGTGGGTGTGTGTTGGGTTTGTATGTATATGTGAGTGTGGGTGTGTGTGTTTGTGAGTGTGGGTGTGTGTTGTGTTTTAGTGGGGTGTGTGTTGGGTTTGTGAGTGTGTGGGTGTGTGTTGGGTTTGTG